AATCTTAAGGTGGACATATGAGTCCCTTTGCACCTTAAGTTGGCCTCGCCGATAATCGAGCCATTTTGAGAGTAATCTCTCCAAGAATCGGGCCATTTTGAGAGTAATCTCTCCAAGAATCGGGCCATTTTGAGAGTAATCTCTCCAAGAATCGGGCCATTTTGAGAGTGATCTCTCCAAGAATCGGGCCATTTTGAGAGTAATCTCTCCAAGAATTGGGCCACATTGAGAGTAATCTCTCCAAGAATCGGGCCATGAAAGTAATCCCTCCAATATTTGGACAGGGATGAGTACCATCCCCTCACACCCCAAGATTGTCTTCTTCATGCATGGATCATCTTGTTAAATAAGAACAAATCCTTCTTGTTAGACCTACAAAAAAAAACCAATAAAAGAAGAAAGAACAAGAGAAGAAGAAGAAATTACCTTCGCGTCAATGCTTCCAAGTCGTCAAAAGTAGACTCTGAAGTAGCTAGCAAACGCTGCAATTGATGTTCGTAGAGGGAATACATACGGGTTTATATAGCTATCGAGATGTGGCGTTAAAATTTGTTGGGCGATGTGGGAACAGTGGCTATTAGAGTCCAATAAGGACTTGTTTTCCTAATTCAATTAGAGTAAAGAAAAGTGATGGGCGGTGAAGTCTACGTGCAAATCGGGAAAGAGACAAAGGAAATACTAATTATAGTTCACCAATGATTAGTTTTCTTCGCCATAAATCCAAGTCTGGCATATCCTTAAGGCAAATGACGTTAATTTCCAATTCGTTGGAATTGACCAAAGTTTGGATGAAAACCATTATGAATACTCAAAGTTTGCTTGGATAATTATTGGATATAAGTGCTGGGTTGCAAATTGCAAATGGACGTTGCATGGGGCGTCTTTGAGGAACATGCACACGTGATTTTTTTTTACTTCAAGTCTAGTCTTTGAAGTTCGTAAGACAAGTCTTGAAGTAGGAGGCATTTATAAGCATATAAAATTTATTGGATTTAAATCCAATAAATAATTTGGATTATATTTTAAATATACTAGTCCAAATAAATATAGGGGCTAATGTAATTGAATTAATTATATAAGTTCAATATATATGGATTAAATAAATAAGTCTTAATCTATTGGGCTAGCCCGTTTAATTGGGCTAAAGTGATGAGCCCACTTCATTAAGCCCAAGATGTCATCTTCCTAGAGGCCCAGTTTGGTGCCACGTGTCAAATGACGTGGCGCGCCAAGTCAAGCGGAAGAGCCAATAGGACCATGCCACGTGTCAAAATGACAAGGCATGCCCAGTCACACTGAAAGGCCAATTAAATCGCGCCACGTGTGCAAGTGACATGTTCTGGCCAATCAAGTGCGGTCATGTCTCATTTCAATTTGATTGGTCGAAAAGAGTTTGTTCTTATCTGTCACGACCCCAGTTCGCCCTCCGTGAACATGTCGTGATGGCACCTAGTTCCTATAACTAGGTAAGCCGAACAAAGCGGAAAATAACATAGCTTGCGGAACAATTAATTAAAACTGAACAATTAAAAGAAAACTGCATAAAAGATGTCGCTCGGCATATATTACTCAATAACGCGGAAGTCTACAATATCACCCCAAAACCCAGAAACTCACGGGAACAGAAGCTAACGGAAGGTAATATACGACTCTAACTTCAGAGTGTCTAAAACAAAGTACGAAGAAGACTAAATACTACAGCTAGAGTAAGGAAGGAGAATCTTCGGTCTGCGGACGCTGCAGATGTACCTCGAAGTCTCCGTAGCCCTCCCTGCCTCAAGGATAATGCGCCTAAGATGAAGTACCTGGATCTGCACATGAAAAACATGCGCAGGAAGGGCATGAGTACACCACAGCGGTACTCAGTAAGTGCCAAGCCTAACCTCGGTTGGGTAGTGACGAGGAAAGGTCAGGGCCCTACTGAGATATAACATAATATATAATAAGATGAGGAAAAAACAGAATAAATAAAGTCTACAGCGAGAATCTAAACAGGATAAATAAGAAAACCGTAATAGAAAGCAGAAACAGGACAATACCAGTAAATACCACTCACAACAGGAACAACAACCGGGGATCTCTTGGTATTCTCATCATATACACGAGGGATCTCTTGATATCCCGAGGATCTCTTGGTATCCTCATCATATACACGAGGGATCTCTTGGTATCCCGAGGATCTCTTGGTATCCTCAAAATATACACGAGGGATCTCTTGGTATCCCGAGGATCTCTTGGTATCCTCATCATATACACGAGGGATCTCTTGGTATCCCGAGGATCTCTTAGTATCCTCAAAATATACACGAGGGATCTCTTGGTATCCTCAAAACTTGAAATAACATGTGTCAGGGATCTCTTGGTATCCCGCACCTTTAGTCCAAAACATATCAAGTGCAGGGGAATCTCCCGGATGCCTTCCCGTAGTCCCAATTTAAAAACACACAATAACAACCCAAACATAAAGATAAATTCTAAACTCAGAACAAGTGATAGAAAATCCTAGCCTAACATACTGCACGGAGAACAAACAAGACAGTTTAAGCACTTAGACAAATAAGTCAAATAAACATGTTCCTCTAGACTAGCATAGGATAAACTTGCAATTTAAAATAGACAGGTCAGCAAGAAAACTCAATTTAAATACTTCAAGTAAAAACGAATTTCCAACAATTAGCTCAAGTACGCGCTCGTCACCTCACGTACGAGGCATTCAAATATCAATTATCATGTCCTAAGGGGAAGAAGTCCCCCACACAAGGTTAGACAAGTCACTTACCTCAACCGGCTCCAAAACTCAACTTGAAATCACTCTTTTGCCACGAGTATCCGACTCCAAATGGCCCAAATCTATTCATTTCAATTACACATCGTAAATAACATCTCAAGCAACTAATTCCACTATCGAATTTAAAGCTAAGACGCAAATTTAGGTAAAATGACCAAAACGCCTCTCAGGCCAACGTGGTCAAACCCGAGGTTCGAACCAAAATCCGGTTACCCATTCCCCCACGAACCCAAATATGTGATTTATTTTGAAATCGGACCTCAAATTGAGGTCCAAATCCTCAATTTTAGAAAACTCTAGGTTCTACCCAAAACCCCCAATTTCACCCATGAATTTCATTGATTTTAAGTGAAAAACATGTTAAATGATGTAAATGATTGAAGGAATTAAGTAAAAATCGACTTACAATTGATTTGGAAGAAGTTTTCCTTGAAAAATTGCCTCTGGGGTTTGGGTCTTGAAAGAATGGTGAAAATGGTGGAAAATTGACTAAGTATAAAAATTGCTGGGTCTCTGATATCGCAATTGCGAATTGCGAACCCCGACCAAATATGGTAATTGCAAAGCTGGGTTCGCATTTGCGAACCCTCACTATTCTGCCAGATTTCGCATTTGCGAACATAATGTTCGCATTTGCGATCAGCCAAGTTTCGCTTTTGCGAGGAATAGGATTGCATTTGCGATCATTTACCCAGGCCCAAGGCTTCGCAATTGCGATGCACAGTTCGCATTTGCGAACTCGCAATTGCGAAGCTCATCTTCGCAAATGCGAAGATCACAGAAGGAATTATACCAGATTTTTTTACAAGTTCAAAAATGCAATCCGACACCTATCCAAAACTCACCCGAGCCCTCGGGGCTCCAAACCAAATATGCACACAACCTCAAAAACATCCTACAGACTTATCCGTGCGATCAAATCGCCAAAATAACATCATAAACGTCGAATCAAGCCTCAAAACTCATGATTTATTCCAATTTCTTCATAGAATATCAAATTTCCATTTTAAGTCCGAAACACGCCAAACGACGTCCGTTTTCAACCAAACTTTACAGAAAACGCTTAAACCATATATAAGACTTGTACCGGGCGCCGGAACCAAAATACTTGCCCGATACCATAGTCTTTTAATCAAATTCCATTTCCAATTTCCTTAGTTATTTCCAGAAAACAATTTCACACAAAAATTCATTTCTCGGACTTGGGACCTCGGAATTCGATACCGGGCATACGCCCAAGTCCCATATTTTCCTACGGGCCCTCCGGGACCATCAAATCACGGGTCCGTTTACCTAAAATGTTGACCGAAGTCAAATTTATTCAATTTAATATCAAAATTTAGCATTTTTCTCACAGGATTCATATTTAAGCTTTCCGGCTACGCGCCCGGACTGTGCACGCAAATCGAGGCAACTCTAGATGAGGTTTTCAAGGCCTCGGAAGTACGGAATGGGAAAGAAACAAGTGATGACCCCTTTTGGGTCGTCACATTATCATAACTCTTCCCTCCCACAACTATAAATAGGGGTCTTCATAATTCAGAAAGGAGACCAGAAGTTATAACAAGAAGCAAGAAAGAGCTCGTGGATCAAACACTACAAATTTCTCCACAAGTTTCAAGTTTCAAGTTTCAAGCTTCAAGCAATCAAGTTCAAGTTCAAGAACGAAGGACAAATCAAGTTCAAGCTCAAGAACGAAGACCGAATCAAGTTCAAGTCCAAGCAATCAAGCTCAAGCTCAAGAACAAGATCATCGTTCGTGGCAACAAACATAGATTCAAGATCAAGCTCAAAGACCCTTGAATTTATTTACCATTGAAAAGAAGAATCAGAGGATTCATAAAGATTGTAACACTCAAATATTCGAAATAAGATACTACGATTTTTGCGATATCTTTCGGTCTTGATTTTATTTTCTCGACGCAATTTATTGTCTACGCTAATATAATCCATTTTTTTTAAAATCCTTTTGTCAGCAATCAGAGTTGAATTTTGAAAATGCAATTTCTTAATTAAATTTTATATTTTATTCTTTAACAATTTCAAAATCACTAAGGAGCACGGAAAGTAATGCGGCATTTCCGTAATGGAAAAATAAAAATTTATGGTAAATTAGCTTTAGGTATCCAAACTACACATTACGTTTAACTGAAAGTTAAATGTGGACAGTTGAATAATACGAGGATTAAAGCTGGAATAATGCAGTATCACAAGAACCAAAACTGGAGTGGAGTAATTGAAATTATATCGATAAACATAATTTCAAAGACAATTCTCAAACTCAAAATCGATAAAATCAGGAATACCTATAACATTATTCAGTGAAAAAAAAATTCATTAAAAGAACATAGTATGCACAATTTCCCTCTTATTTATTTATTCTAAAAACCTATATTTGAGCAAAATCTGGTGATCACCAAAAAAAAGGCCTAATTCAATCTTCAATAGTAGGATCAAGAGTCGCCACTACTCCCACTCCATAGCCTTGACCAGCTCCGCCACCAAAACCATTTCCGCCGTCTTCACCGCCGCCGCCGCCTCCTCCTCCGCCACCGCCACCGCCACCTCCATTGCTGCCTGATCCACTACCCCCGCCAATTCCAAACCCCTGACCAGATCCACCATTCACACCTCCTCCTCCTCCTCCGCCACTGCCACCACCACCGCCGCCGGCATTGCCTGGTCCACTAAAAAAGCCAGATCCACCTCCAATTCCCCAACCTCTTCCACCATCTGAACCTCCTCCTCCTCCTCCGCCACCGCCACCACCACCCCCGCCGGCATTGCCTGGTCCACTAAAAAAGCCAGATCCACCTCCAATTCCCCAACCGCTTCCACCATCTGAACCTCCTCCTCCCCCTCCGCCGCCACCTCCACCGCCGGCAACATTTCCGATAATTTGGTCAATTCCGCCAAAGCCGAGGATGTTTCCGGATGGCAATTGTAGAAGCTTCCTTGCAAATGTTGTTTGCACAAAAACACACACAATACATAAAAGAACCAACCTGCTACTCATCTTCATACTTGCCACTGCACCATAAATAACACAGCTTAGTTAGTACTTAGTACTATTCAAAAATTAGTGGCAAGGAAGTGCAAGGACAGTTTGGTGCACTAAGCTCTCGGTATGTGCAGGAATCGAGGAAAGGCTGGATAATAAGTGTGTATAGTACGCAGTCTTACCCTGTATTTTTGTAAGAAGCTGTTTCCACAGCTCGAACACACGACCACCTGGTCACATAGCTGTAACTTAACCAATTACGTGAAGGCTCCTTGTTACAATTTCATCTTATTATTATAGTTAATAATGATGCGCAGTAAGTTAGGGTCAGCTATACAAACCATATTTTTCGTTTAAACTCGACTCATGTAATCCAAATGAATAAAAAAATGTTTAAACACTATTTGATGATGTGCACCTTCCATTATATCTTGTCAAGTAGAAAAAATTGACTGTATAAACACTATAGTTACTACAGAAAGAAAGATTAAATGTAATTATGTTGCATTTTTAGCAGTAATATAATCAACATTAACAACAAATTAAGATGAGAATGGCTTCTTACTTTGGCTCTTCTCGTATGTGTGTTTTGCACTGAAAGAACCTCAGAGAAGAGCTAAGCAATTGGATGAATAATTTGAGATGTTTAGGACGAGTTTAAATACTATAGAGTAGTGGTAAAGTAACAGTACATGGTTGGGAATTGTTAATGAATGTAATTAATCACTTGTACAAAATGGAAACACATTAGTACAAAATTGAATGTGGTAAATTAAAAAGGAAGAGTTACGTTATGGTAATTAGTTGCTTAATAACCTACGTGGTCTATTACTCTATTCTGTGCACTGTGGAACAACTTTATTGGTAGTCTTATCCCAATTGATGAGACAAAATAACCAATCATTAGAAGACCAAGTTTATAGTCCCAAAACCGGTAGTACAAGTGATAAGCTCTACAGAATTTTGCTAGAAACCCTCTAATACAACTGTTCCGAAATAAGGATAAACAGTACAATACAAAAACTGGAAGGTGACTCCGAAACCTACGAACACAGCAGCAGGTTTACCTTGAGTCTCCTCAGCAACAATCCACACAGCTATCTAACGATCAACTGACTTCGAATTTTTTTGGATTTGCACAAAAATGTGCAGAAGTGTAGTATGAATACACCACAACGGAACCCAGCAAGTATCAAGACTAACCTCGGTGGAGTAGTGACGAGGAACAGTCAAGACACCTACTGGACTAAATAACCTGGACGAATATAAGTGTAGAAACAACAAAGTACGATATCTATATAAGGACTACGCATAATGACAATGATAATAATACGGTAATTGCAGTAAGAAAAGGAAAACAACAACTAGCAGCAGAATGCCATAAATGACACCATAGAGTGAGCGGAACTCAGTTTAAATCCGGGGATCACAGATAAAGGAAAGGCAAGTAGCAACTCAACAAAAACGACCGCTTTCACACCAGGTCTGAGCCAATAACCTTCACGAGGTACCGAACCTTAGAATATTCACAATTCACGGGTCCTAATTTCAGAACCATAAACACTGGGCATCATGCGCCCTCACTACAAATTTATAATCACACTGGCGACTCACGTACCAATAGAGCCATACTCACATAGAAGGCAAGTAAACAAGGGTGTGCATCAATACTCAACAATATCAAATCCATCCTCTTAACCGATAGGAGTGATTAACTACGTGTATCCTTGTGCAAATGTCCTAACTTAGTTCTTGCACTTCCTTGTCACGTCGCATGTGCAAATATCAATAGTAACAATAGCACGACAGAAACCTCGTGCAACCCGATAACACCGCACGACAGAAACCTCGTGCATCACAATAACAACCGCACGACTGAAACCTCGTGTATCACAACAACAACTACCACAGCAACAATGACAATAATACAGGAGTACGACAATTAAATAAACTTAGAAATTCTAGAACTCAAAGAAACGGAAGAACTAATTACAAGAAATAGCCACAATAGAGAATGCTAGACATAATAAGAACAACTCAACAAGGGAGAAGATAATACTCCCTCTGTTCCAGTTTATGTGAACCTATTTTCTT